AGAATTTTCTATGTAGAGAATTAAAAACTAAGCTCAAATACGCAACTTTGTCCCCATATAAGAGACTTCGTATCTCTTACAGTTTCCGAGATACCAATGGTGAGGGTCGAATTTGAAACACCCTGTATGCTATTGAATCGTATTATTCCATAAGATATTTGTTGATAACCCCATAGTGTAAAAGAGAGGTATTACCCCTAGAAACAATCATATGGATGATCAGATATATACAGGAAACAAAGTATAAGGTGCCGCTGATGGCAATTAGTATTAGGTAGTATCATTGAAGTCCATATTCTCGTATTGTCTGTGGTACAAAGTACAGGTTTAAGGTCATTAAGGCTAGAAAGATCAGAATTGCCACTACTTTGTGTCCCCTGAAAAATAAAATTTCTGTTTCACTACAGAGCTCTGCGCCACTAGACGGTAATCAGAGGATATAATTTATGTTTATCTCAGCGCCTGTACCTTTCTCACAGAGCGCAACTGACAATTGCAAGCCCGATGGCATCTCGACTATACATATATGGTAGATAGGCTACAAAACAAATTTCATTTATGTATAGCATATTTATACAAATGATTTTTTTTCTGTCTATAAATACATAGATAAAAGACCAGAATACTTGACAAAATTCAAAGTAAAATTGAGGAATCATGCGTTAAATCTACAATTATACAGGGTGGGCCATTAAGTTGAATGGATTTTAAAAAATCATTGAAAAAAACTACAAATCGTGTTGCAATCGCGAAAATGAGATTATGTTTTTTGGATGTTATATGAAATGTACATCACGAAAAACCTTGCCTCACATTTTCGTGTGTCTGTCCGCTAACCGTTGGACCACTTATAACTTGGAAAACAATGCTCGGACTTGGATGAAATGTTCACACAACGTAGCTACTAAGCCAATGACGAAAAAGCTTTGATGTTTTTGAAAATCGGTCCAGTAGCGGCGGAGAGAAATGCCAAAAACAAAAAAAATATCGTTCGGACTTCGTTTTTTTGGCGTTTCGAAGGATCCTGTTCATTTTTGAAAAAATCTTAGGGTAAAAAGTTGGGTGGTGGGGGGTTGAAGACGGATGGGTGGGTGTATCGCTACTTTTTGATGTTAGTATATTAATACACTCTCAACCCCGATAATTCTACGCACCGACTAGATATATTCCACACACCATAGATTTCGCCGTACATTTGCCCTTAAAACTAAATACACAGCAAACGGATCGCCTATCCGTCGCATATACAGTGCGTCACCGAGATACCGATCCCAGCAGGCAACGCGAGAACATACGAGGTGGGCGCGATATTTTCTATATACGTATATGAGCGTTATCCTTGGAGTATGATTCAATGATGTTATTTGATTCCTTGACGTAATGGTATTCGTATGTATTTATCAAGAGCTATTACAGTCAGTTATCAAACGCTGTTGACAAGCAGTTTTACACCAGAGCTCCAAAAAGATGAGGCTCCCGTGTACGGATACGCTCATTGCTGCAATCAGAGGAATCTTTTTTCCATGAATAGTACAAATAGTGCATCTCTGGTTCTGACAAAACCTTTGTCTTTTAGAAAATCATTGCACTACATGCAAAATTGTACCAGAAGTTTTGTCGAAGACCTGGAATGTGAGTCAATCTTCTTGACGCCATTTTTTAGATACTATGTAGGTTTTCCTATAAACTGATACAATTAGCTGACATTCACTTCATGACCTCTTAAAACCCGGGAACGGTCGTGTTAAATTTGTAACGTAATAGGTCGCGTGTTAGGTTGAATCGAACATATTATTTTGCTTTTTTTAAATTATTTTTTAGTCAAATAAAACGTTATAAAATGAATGTACACATTAAAGAGTACATATCAGAATTCTCTTTGTCAGCTCCGCAAGAGATACACGTAGAAACGGTACTGGCAGTATGTTCTTTGCCCATGTGCGAGGCACAGCTTCCACATCGCTGCAGAGTAAATCAGTTTTTTCTAATTGGACATGCATCGTACTTTTGATTGCTCCCCTTCCAAGTTCGTTCTTGCAACCGCTCTAATTGCGGTAACGTTGGCTATTTTTTGACGTAGTGGAGTAGATAGGGTTTGTATGTTCTGGGACACCCTTGAGCGCCGAGTGACCTTGAAGTGTGACCTTGAGTTTCCGAGTGACCTTGAACATATATGACCTCGAGCACTCTCGACCCTGAGTGGGTGTGACCTTGTAGGAGTGAACGACCTTGCGATGTAGAAGTGAGCACCGACCTTCGGTGCCAAACGACCTTGTGAGCTGACCTTCGGTGCCAACCTTGAAGTGTGACCTTGAAACGCGACCTTGAGTTTCCGAGTGATCTTGAAGTGTGACCTTGAGTTTTCGAGTGATCTTGAAATGTGACCTTGAGTTTCCGAGTGACCTTGAACATATATGACCTCGAGCACTCTAGACCTTGAGTATGTGTGACCTTGTAGGAGTGAACGACCTTGAGATCTAGAAGGGATGACCTTGGAAATATATGCTTAAATTGTGGAACTCGCCGAGAGAACTCAGTTCTGTAGTTGCAAGTGGCGCAAATAATAATAATAATAATTAACGTCTTTTATTTGTAATATTCTTACAGGAGGCGAGATTTAGATTATATATCTATTCTACCATCTAACCCCCTTAACAATACGAGATGTAAAAAAAAAAGAATTTATTGAAAATTAATAGGCACCTGTATACAATAACGAATAATCCAAGTCAATATATAAGGAAAATATGAGGACACTTATGGGTTACAACCGATTTCGCTGCTGATCAAGAAGAATTTCTTTAACTTTTTTCTTGAATTTGGATAATGGATTGGTTTCTTTTAAACTGCGGTCTAAATAATTATATGATTTGATCGCATTGTAAATGTATGAATTCTGAAATGGAGACGTGCTGTGGCGTGGAATTGAAAAAGTCTCTCTATATTTAATATTAATACGATGAATATTCCCTCTACGTATGAATTTGTTTACTAAATATGACGGTGTTTTTGAATAAAGAACCTTATGAGTCAGATTTAGGAGCTGGTACTTATACATTTTATCAATTTTCATCCATTTGAGTTCATTAATGGCATTCGATATATGATCATATTTTCTGAGATCATTTACAAGCCTGCAACATGTATTCATAATAATTTGAATACGATTTCTTGTTATAATATCTAAATAGGGATATTAAACCACTAAGCAATACGATATCTTTGAAAATACGAAATATTCACACAATTGCTTTCTCGCAGATTTATGTAATATAGCCTTATTTGCAAATAAAACTCTGAGACGCTATCGTAGCACTGAGTAATTAGATAGTTCACGTGTGCAACAAATTTTAAGTCATCATCCATTATAATACCTAGGTTTTTCGAATGATCCACAGGAATTAATTTATTACCTTTTGAATGTATGTCTATGTCCTTTTTTAAGGTATTCTTTTTTGTTCTATTTGCGTATACCAACATATTTGTCTTCAAAGGGTTCAAACGAAGATTATGACTACTACTGAACTTTTCAATTTGGGCAAGATCTTGATTAATTTTATTATTTGCCGTTTCCAAGTCATTACTCCTAAATGAATAGAAAATTTGAGTATCATCTGCAAAAAATTGTATGCTGCATGATTTTAAGTCTGTTTCTAAATCTGAGATATATAATGAAAATAATAGCGGTCCTAAGACTGATCCCTGTGGTACACCAGAACAAATTTTTTGTTCCGTAGAGTACTGTTGATTTAGACGAACTTTTTGATACCGATTTTCAAGGTAGGTTTGAATAAACGAAAGAGGTTTTTCAGAAAATCCATAGTAACTGCATTTAGATACAAGAAGTGAGTGATTAATGGTGTCAAATGCTTTAGTAAAGTCAAGAAGTATGAGAGCTACTGCTTTTTGGTTATCAAGTGCCATTGTTATATTGTCTGTTAAATCACAGAGTGCCGAAGCTGTATTATGACCTTGTCGAAATCCAGATTGTTTAGATGGAATAATTTTGTTAGAATATAAGTAGGCGCAGAGCTGCTCGTAAACAACGCGTTCCAATACTTTAGAGAAAATTGGCAGTAGACTGATCGGTCTCAGTTGACCATAGTTAGTAGGATCAGCACACTTAGGTAGCGGAATAACTATAGCGCGTTTCCACTGATTGGGGAAATCTCCCCTCTCTAAACAGCAGTTTATAATATGCGTTAAGTACACATCAATTTCAGGTATACATAGTAGTATCATATGCAAAGTTATTTCATCTGTACCACTAGAATTTGATTTTATTTTATGTATAATTTTAACAACGGTGTCAATAGTCACTTTATTAAATTGAAATTTGAATTTTGAGTTATTTTTATTAGCTCGGTAATATGCAATTTTATCAGCACAAGCCAAATCACTATTCTCGAAAATTGAAATGAATGCCTCATTTATTTTATACGGATCGGACAAGCTCACGGGAATTGTAGAATCTTTCTGAGATTGTACTTTGAAAGTCTTTAAGGTCTTATAAAACTTTTTTATATCCTGATTTTGAACAGCTTGTAAATAATCTCTTTTCCCTCTTCGCACGAGCGTTAATGCACGATTTCTGAAATATGTATACTGTTGCCAAATGGTACGGTATACTAGTGGGATGCAGAATATAATATTGGAGAAGAAAAGTACGTGTTTAGTCTGTCAAACGCAGAAACTGTTGGAGCATGCAAAGGAGTTTCGATGGATTCGTAGGTGGTGTTGTTGTGGGACATTTTTATGTAGTTTATTGTTGGACATGTACTCAACACCGTCCCCATAAAATAGGGTGGATGTTCGAAACGGATGACGAAAATCATTGGTGTTGGAACCGGGACTCGCCATAGAAGTAATGTCACTAAGGAATGGATTCCTAATTAAATGGAGTGAGCTGCAAGATGTATATAGAGTGCGATATCCATATGAATTGATATATGAAAGAAGTGTAATAAGTAATGCATATGTAGAATGGAGCGTGTGTCAAGAAAGTTATGCGAGGGGTGTAGAATGGAGCGAAGACCGTTGCCAGCAATATTACTACATCGGTACCACAATGATGGGATCAATAGTATGTGAGAGGTGTATCATAGGTGCAAAGTATGTCCTATTTAGTATATGCGATGTATATGTGAATAAGCTCCACATACATAGTAAGAACTTAGCAAAGTGTTTGTATTGCGAAAGGCGAATAGCATCGAATAGTATACGTAAGTGTGACAACATTCCGCTGGGAGGCAAGCATCTGTATTGCAGCCGAAGAAAGAAAATGGGAAAGTTAGGAGGAAAAGGAGGCCGAGTGTGAAGGTAAGTGAAGGAAAAAGAAATGTGTGGATAAGTTGAGAGAATAATGAGTGTAAGGTTGTAGAAGCAAGACAGATAGCTAAAAAATTCAAAAATCGGTCATTGAAGAGAAATTAGAGTGAAAAACGTGAACTGGGTTGGGTGTTATTATCTTGAAGCTAATATACTTTACAGAATCCTTAAAACCTACAACCTTACAAATAAAATCTTAAACCTAAATCCTTAAAACTAATACACATTAGGGGCTGATATACCCCGAATCGCTGGATGGATCGTCCAGATCCCACACGAGATTGTCATCCTGAAATGCTTCAGGAATGGCAACCTCAGATGGGTCGTCAAGAGGAGCAAGGCCGACGTGGAGCTCATCAAGCTCGACCTCAGAATCGCTCTCGGACGAAGATGCCTCCCCCTCGCCCTCCCTATCATCTTCGTCGGCAGACTCGATGTCGACAACGTCGTCTAACAAAGCATTGCCAACATCGGGTGCAGCACCTCCCCCAATTACGGTAGAGGCTGTGCTGTCGAAGAGGAGTGGACTAGCCAAGCCATCTTCATGGAAGATATACAGATCATTTGGATCCTGACCATCCATGACGATGACTGAGGAGCAACGGAATGGAAAGACGGCTATAGTGAGTATATAAGGATGCTCTCCTCCTCTGTCACAAGGTCGGGAGAATTCGAGGTCATAATGCTAGAACGGACAAAGAAAGTATAGGTGGGTAGTAATATTCTTAACGATGAAAGTCGAGGTCACGAAATTAGCATTGGATAATAAATGTAAAACTTAAACGCGATCAGTAAACTTTAATGAAGTAATAAATCTTGACTGTTAATTCATGCTAGAAATCGTGAAAGTCGAACGGAAGAATCCGTGAAAGTGAGGTAGGAGGGGAAATGCTTGTATATAAGTGCTCATAGTCGTACCTGTCACTGCAGTCCAAACACTTCAGGTTGAAAGCATCAGTCCTTAACATTGTGTTCTTTGTTCAATTACAGACATGTGTTCAAGACCGTGTCTGTGTACCTTGGAGAAGAAGTGCCCGTACTGCGCATTTACGAACAGTCTGATTCTGCCTGATTCTGGAAAAACTGTTAAGGCTCCGTGTACGGGTATTGCAAAATGTTCAAGTTGTACCACCACGCGAAACCGTTGACCCTTCGCTGAACGGGCACCCGCAAACGATGGCTAGTCAACAGAACTCCTCAAATGAGATCGATATTGAGGCAGTGTTAGCATCCATTAACCCGGACATTGATATGTCTACAACGATGAATGCATACAATGGTTGACCATCGTTTGAGATGGGTTTATTTGGAGCTCAGCCAATGCCATCCATGTCGAGAGCCACTTCAACACAGCTAGAGCCATCGGTGTCTGCCATCGAGTGATCGATGTGATCTGGACGATGCACTATATCGCGACACGTGGATCGAAGAGTTGCCGTTCACGCAAGTCGAACGGGACGCGATAGAACTTAATGTTGTGAATGAGCAACTCAATCGCGACACGTGGATCGAAGAGTTGGCGTTCACGCAACACAAACAATTAAGGCTACCATTTTGCGTTTATGCCGACTTTGAATGCATTCTAGCTCCGATAGAAAATGACTCAAGCGATTCAGAGGATGTATGTACCATCAAAAAGTATGAAAATGCTCATTTAATGATTCACTATCCAAATTAGAACTATACAGGGGTGAGGATGAAGCACAAATTTTTGTTACTCGATTATAGGCTGATCTTAAATTAATATATTATCAATATTTAACACAAAATGTAGAAATGAAAATGACTACGTACGATAAAGCTTCGTTTAATAAAGCAGAGTCATGTTTCATTTGTGAACAACCATTCACCAATACAAATATAAAAGTTAGTTATCACTGTCATTTCACAGGGAAATATCTTGGTGCGGCGCATAGTAAATGCAATCTCAATTATAAGACTCCGAACTATATTCCAATATTTTTCCACAATCTGAAGAACTATGATGCTCATCTATTCATAAAACACTTAGCTATGAATCAAGTACAAATTAAAGTGATTCCACAATCCTTTGAAAGATATGTCTCATTTACGAAATTAGTACCGGTAGACACGTACATTTCTCAAGAGGCAAAACAAAAAACCGTATTTTTGCAAATGAGATTTGTCGATTCATATCAGTTTCTTTCGTCAAAATTAGAAACATTGGCATCCTTTTTAAGCGCAGAGCAATGTCGGAGAGTGCGAAAAATGTTTCCCGAGGACGAAAGATTCTCCTACATGAGATGTAAAGGTATATTTCCCTATACATATCTTAAAACATTTGATAACAACAAGACTTTTATGACGAAATACGTGATGAACACATTGCAGACGAGGATTATGAGCGGGCACATCATGTTTGGGAAGTAATGGGGTGTAAAAATTTGGGGGAATACTCGGACTTTTACCTGACTTCGGATGTTCTTCTTTTAACAGATATCTTTGAAAATTTCAGAGATTTGTGTTTAAAAACGTATAAGCTGGATCCAGCTCACTATTTTACAGCCCCTGATTTGAGTTGGGATGCAATGCGACGATATACTGAAGTAGAGTTAGAGCAGCTACTTACAGATGTGGATAAGGTACATTTTTTAAAAAGGGGATCCGCGGAGGAGTCAGCACATGTACCTCACGGAAAGTCGAGGCGAACAATAAATGTTTACCTCATTACGATCCATCAAAGACAACATATCGTACTTAATGTACCTTGATGCGTCGAATTTGTATGGATATACTATGCAGCAGTACCTACCGACGGGTCATTTTGCTTGGTTAACGCAACATGAGATGGATAGGATTCAAGAAACAATTACACAAATTTCAGATACATCGGATATTGGATATGCATTAGAAGTTGATTTAACAATACCTAATGAGCGTCATGATTATTTCAATGATTTACCATTTTGTCCAGACAATTTTAAACCACCCAACAGTCAAAGCTCAAAATTAATTCCAAATTTACATAACAAAGAGCGCTACATTATCCATTATCGTAATCTAAAACAATGTTTGAAACATGGTATTATCTTGACGAAAACACACAAGCAGCGTGGTTAAAGTCCTATATACTGTTAAACACGGCACTTAGAAATGCAGCACTGAATCCGTTTGAAAGAGATTTGTTCAAACTAATGATCGATTGTATATTTGGCAAAACGATTGAAAACATGGAGAACAGAGTTGATATCAAATTAGCGACTCAATTTGAAAAATCGAAACACAAAATAGGTGCTGAAAATTATATTAGTAAACCAACTTTTAAAGAACACAGAATATTTTCTGAAAACTTAGTAGCTATTCAAATGGAAAAAACAATGATTGATTATTGCCGTCCCCCATATGTTGGATTTTGTATTTTAGATGTCTCGAAAACGGTAATATATGACTTTTTCTATAACTTTCTGAAGCACCAATATGGTGATAAGGTGTCGTTAGCATACAGGGACACTGATTCGTTAATAGTACATGTTGAAGCCGATAATTTCTATGAAGACATGAAATCACACATGCATTACTTTGACACATCCAATTATGATGCTGACAACCCACATAACATGCCTCGAATAGCGTCAGAGTTGGGTAAGATGAAAGACGAATATGGTGGCAAGGTACTGTCTGCCTTCTATGGTACAGGTCCCAAAGCATACGGCATCGATGCTGTAGATCAAGTGGCTAAACGAGCCAAATGTATATCTAAGGCGAGTGTGAAACATCAATTACATTATAAGGATATTGTTGAGGAGAAACGGACATCTGTGTACTGTACGATTTATGTATGTAAATCGGAGTCGCACAATATATACACAAATGATCAGAAATTAGAGCTTTGTGGTGGGAACAAGAATATAAATATATGCTTTACCCACTCACCTTCTTCAGTTTTAAAGATGGGTACCAAGATATACTATTCACTGTTCATGCAATTATGTCATGAAACTGAAGAGGTGTTGAAAAAACAGCTGCGACAGTTTGTGTCTCAAAATCCAGAAAAACGAGAATTTCCAGTGCTGAGTTTTGTACTCTAGGAAATTACAGTACCCGACGAAGTATTCAACTGGATTGCAAATGCAGATAGTGGCCATCCCGATGTGCTTTCCAGTGTAATAACAAGAAAGAAACATCTTGACTGGGTGGTACAGGAAACGCTGCAAAGTCTAAAGGATAGAGGTTGTGAGGTTTTAAGCATCAAAGAATTTGGAGACCTGCTGGCGAACATGCACTGCACACCATCAGCATATGAACAATACTATTTGTGTAAGTTGTTATCTGACAGTAACTATGAAGATGTAGATACACCACATCCTGTAGAAAATAATACTAAGAGATTAAAGACACTGTATACCATATCGATGAAACCATATGTAAAATCGCATATCTGGCTGATTGGGCATCACTGAAGAGTCTAATCGATGTGCTACAGCAGCATGATATTAAATTTGTATTTGATATAGAAAATAAGATAAGACATTATACTGTATTTAAATGGTTAAAGAAAAACGTAGCCAAATGTGACATTGGAGATAAGTCACTAGGATGGAGTTCAGGACCATGTGGTGTGAAATGGCCATCCAACAAATTTGAAGATTATGTTGCATGTTTGAGTGTCTTATGCGATTTATCCAAAACGCAATAATTCTGTGTTGTATGACAGAAATATATCATAAATAAATATATCTTCATGAATGGTAGTATCATTTTCCATTGCACCTGCGCCAATTTTTGGGAGCGGAGTTTTTGTGAGTGGAGGGAGTATCGACACTGTATAAAAGTAGCTACACAGCATCACATACCAGTCTTCTACATTTCACATAGTGTTACAACATGAGTAGTGCCGGTGGTGTCAAACACGTTGCAAATGTGCAGAACGACAAGGGGGTACGATCTGTACAAAGTGGTGTAGCTCAACTACCGTTAATTGTCAACCAGGAGCAACGCTATCATCTAAATCCATCTAAATCAAAATGGATCACGATTGGGCGAGCATATCAGTGGAGCTTCCAACCTGTAATCAATATCAAGGGTTTAAAAACCGAGGGCGTTACGTTAAATGAAGAAGACTGGTATGAAGTATTGAATCAAGAAGGCATTATAACCAATTTTTTCTTCAGTGATGATATTTTCTATCCGATCCAAGGTAACTCCTTCTGTATCAGCTTTGATAGATTTCCAGATTTTCAAACCATCAAAATTGAAGATCGGTGGAGTAAGGTAGTTTATTTGGGTAAAGAGACCGTATTCAAGTTATTTCAATTAGCCCCGCTGATTGCCTATACGATGAATATGCTGAAAACTCAGGAGTTCCAAAAATATTTTACCATACTCGTCCAGGATGTACAAACCAAGCACATAGATGTGCGAGACTTCATTATGCAACACATCTCTGATTTGCCGCATTCGGAGAACATCAGGACTGCTATGGAACTGGCATACCAATATCCAAACTTGAAGGAATTCAACAAGGCTCCAACACTGGACTTTTATTCAAATTGCTTATCCTAACTATTCTCAGTATATTTGTAATAAAAATCTTATATTACGTAGAGTGTTTTATTGAAAAAAGTTTGCTATAGAAATCATTAGAGAAAATAGAGGTACATTTGTCATACAAGTAAATCACTTTTTTTTATCCACGAATTATAGCTGCTATCCAGTCCTAAGTACTTGACTAGCACTTTATTGCCTTTACGTCGAACCACTTTCTCCACAAGATAGATGTTGGGATACTTGATTTTTTGAAGCTCTTCACCATAAAATCCACCTAGTATCTCGACACCACGCCAATCTGCCAATAAGTATGATGTAGGATTGGTATACTCTACTTTACGAATTGTAAAAATTTCATTGGACCAATTAGGAGTGTATCCTTTAGCAAATGCTGTTCTATGTTTTCTTATGCGGACATGATCCCCAGTTTGATATTTTACACCCTTTGGATCTACCGTTTTCAAATGTGTATAAACCGTATTCAATAATGTTTTTTTCTGTACGTTTGTTTACATCTTTTGATTCCAATTGTACTGTGTTTGGTGTTATTATCCCCGTCAACGACTGACGATAGGATATCTACCCATTTGTACGATCCCTGAAGGCTGAACTGCTTCCACATTCTTTAAAGTCCGATTCACCCTTTCAACTACACTTGCTTTGGTCGATGAGTAGGTGCTGTAATGATTAATTTTGTACTCTTCCATCAACTTCGTAAAATCACTCTTGTAGAATTCTTTATCCAAGTCTGTTTGTAAATTTTTTGGAATTGACATCATGTGCGACAGAATCGCCCTCATTGCAGTTGTAACATCTTTTCCGGTTTTTCGTTTGACTGGTTCTGCCCACACAAATTTACTAAAAACGTTGATGAAAATCAAAATATATCGGAATCCTTTGTTCACTTTCTTATACGGAAGCATTTCCATCAAATCTGCCTGCAGGAGATCGTTGACCCCTTCACAATAACGCGCCGACGTCTATAATTTCGGCGAGCTGGTTTATGAAGTTCTTCAACAACCTGCTTTTTAAAGTCGATCATTGTTGTATCCATGGACACCGCCTTACAATATTTGCTACAAGCTGCTCTGGTCTGGGTTCTTTAGATCTGAAGAAATGGAGAATATCACCTTTCGTGAGAGGTGTGTTGTCGGTGAGACTATTTAAACCAATTGTCACTCTTACTTTTGGCGGAACATTTATACTATCAACTATCGTTGGGTGACTTTGAAGTTGAGTCATTAATTTTCAGATAATGATTGTAGAAGGAAGATAAACCACAATATGTGTGTAAAAATAAAAAAAAATTGAAAAAATTTTACCTTGTTTTATAAAGTATCCTCCCGACAAGTATTTCAGTGCGGACCTGTATTTGATCGTGAGGTCTTGGAGCACCGGCATGCCTCCATATGTGAGGTCTTAATTCAAATGATTCACGAACCCGTTGTACTACATTAACAAAGGCATGAGGGGTTGGTTGCACTCGATTGGGAAACCGATCCGAATAAACATGTGCCATTTTTTATTTCGTTTGAACCGCGCAACAGACACCACTATCCACTACCGACTGACACTGACTGTTTACAACTGAATGAAATAATTGTAAAAACATCGTTCCAAATTCTTTCGCTTTTTTGTTTCCGATGCGATGAACCGATAAGGCGAATTATATCCGTTGTCGCCAAACACGAGCACATAATATTATTATTGAGACAGGTCGGTACTCAAACTTCCAAAGGGCTATAACTTTGTTACTTTAATTTTACCAGAAAAATGGTAAAGGAAAAAAACATTTCTTTTGATCAGATCTACTCACTGTTAAAATAAATGACTCAACTTCGAAGTCACCCTGTATATATATATATATACAATACAATTACTTGTTAATTGGGAAATTGGCAAAACTTTTAGGCTGAAGTTGACTCTTTTGACGATAAAATCAAGCTTTCGGCATTCTCTATGGAGCCATCATCAGGATTTCGTCGGTGAGGTTGCAGCCATAAGGTGTTTCAGAAAGAACGAAGAGAAGATCGAACTTGTGTTCCGTATAAAAAAAAGGACGGAGACATTGGGCTTGTTGAAAAAACGACAGATACCTTCGTTAAAAGTTAAGAAAAAATAAAAATTATATCAAGTTAAAAATATTACACGTGGGACACTTTGTTGAAAAAATCGGAATGCAGTCCCTTATCTTCTACTACCGCCGAAAGCTTGATTTTATCGTCAAAAGAGTCAACTTAAGCCTAAAAGGTTTGCCAATTTCCCAATTAACAAGTAATTGTATTTTGTACCCAACTAGTCGTTGGCTTTGGCAATGACTACTGCTCATATATAGATATATATTACTGTTACAAACTTATGTTGCTGCTAAAACACTTTCTATTCCTGCTTCCCTGTCTTGGAGAATCTTTATCAACCACCACAAAGCTATGTGGCTCTTGCCAACACAAACTGCACACGCTTTTAAATTCGTTGAATGACATGTCTAGACTGATATGATCATCATAGATATGTTTCAGATTCAAATTGACTTGAGGAAATAGTATGAGTAGGTTTATGTTATCCCTTAAATTATGTTTGGGTGCGGCAGTATACGTTTGAAAAAGATAGAAACAGTCTGTATTACGATGTCGTCCAAAACTGAAATGTTGTCTTATTATATCCTGATTACATGATGAAACGTCGTCAAAAATTATTACGGAGTTTGGTTAAATGTTTTCTGGTGTCGCAATGTTTTCATCTTCACTGTATTCATAATACCATATTTTGCGAAGCGGTGTTAGTAGTTCTCGTAAATATTTGTACTTGGGTACAGATAAACGTTCTCAAATCTCAATCCATTAGGATGTGTTAACAAACTGATCATTACATTAGTTTTTCCACATCCGCTTGGGCCTACAACTAACGCGCGCTTAGACGTACCATTGAATAGGTTACCATGTTTTCTAAGCGCACCTTCCTGTGCAAGTCCATCAAAATTCCTCACAGGTACTTGTACGGCTGATGGTTCGATCTTCATTCTGATAGCCTATAAATTGTACTGAAATCAATACTTCTAGCACAGTCTACTATATATCTGAGAACAGTTACTTGATAGAAGCATATAAAATGACTGCATTCCGTGCGAGGAGAAACAGACACATACAGACCGTTACAGTGCGCGGTACGGGTTTCATAAATAAACTTATCGATAAACTACCACTTGAATTGCACACCACGGGATATAATTTCTGTGGACCTGGAATAAATTTAAAGCAACGCATTCAGAGAGGTGATACCGGAATTAATCGCTTAGACGAGGCCTGTAAGCAGCACGATCTTGTTTACGCTACCTCCAAACAAAGTGACATTCGTCGTAAAGCCGATAACCTCTTAATTGATCACGCCCTCAAGCGGGTTGCTGCATCGGATTCATCGCTTGGTGAAAAAGTAGCTGCACTGGGTGTCTCAGCGATCATGAAGATGAAGCAGAAATTGGGTAGTGGCATGAGTCGAAAAAATGTTTCTTCTCGTTTTCGCAAATCACAACGCATTGTAGGATTGCGAAAAAAGTAATAAGCGGACAAGGTCTCCGTAAAAAACGACGCATCACAAAAAAGTCGTGACTTTTACCGATACCTAAAATAGGGGGATTCTTACCTATCCTAATTCCCCTACTTGGTGCGCTAGGTGGAGCCAAAGCAGTCTCGGATGTGAAAACCAATCAGGCTCAGCTGGCTGAACAAAAACGTCACAACTTAGTGTTAGAACAATCTAAACAAGGAAAAGGGTTATATTTGGCACCTTATAAAAAAAACTGCTAAAAAAACTCCCTCGTCATGCTCTTACTAATATAGAGCTACTTCAATTGGCTAAACAACTGAGAATTCCAAAATTTAGGGGAGTTTTTATGAGAGATGATTTACCGCATCGAATTAGAGCTAAAGAATGCGGTATTATTAATTAAGATAGTTCATCAGGTGTTGGATCCCACTGGACTGCATATGTAAAAAACAACAATCATGTCACATACTTTGATTCATATGGTAATTTACGTCCCCCAGAGAAACTGTGCATTATTTTCGCAGCAATCATGATGTCTCTGATATTGAATACAATTATGAGTCCATTCAATCATTCAACTCACATAATTGTGGTCAGCTGTGTTTGCGTTTCCTATATAAAGCTAGTGCAAGGTTCAATCAATGAATCTTATCGTCTACCTTTCAACGCATACATCATGTCGAAGACATTTACCCTTTCTGACAATTCTTCTACGCTTCAAGCTGACTTCAATCCTCCAATCTATCTTTCAGATGATGATGCGTATGAAATTGGGTTGTGTGATTTTGAATCCTTCAATGTCATTTCTAATGTTGATGCTTCCAACAATACTTTTGTATATTCTACATCTTCAATTGCCAGTGATCGCCAATCGTTTAAACTTCCTATCGGTTCCTATGAAATTTCAGAGCTGGCTACCGCCTTACAACAAAAACTTCCATCAGGACTGCAAATTAGTCTTACTGCCAACAAAACTACATCCACCGTTACTTTACAAGCCAATTGTGACATCGATTTTTCTTCAAAAAATACTATTGGTCGCATGTTGGGCTTTGAACCCCGAATTTTGCAAAAAAATATACTGCATGAGTCCGATTTCGCAATAGAAATGTTAAAATTAAATGCACTCTGTATCGAGTGTAGCATAGCTGCAGGTTCTTTCAGAAATGGACAACCCAGTCACATCATCCATCAATTTTTCCCAACTGGGTATAAAATAGTGGAGGCACCGCAAAACATAATTTACCTTCCTGTGAGTGTTAGTACGATCAACACCTTGACTGTTAAAGTACTTGATCAAAACAAGGATCTTGTAAACTTTAGAAACGAAACCATTACCATACGTTTACACTTGCTCAAAATACGTAATGGGTATTAGATACAATATTCCACATTCGGTGCTTTCCAATCGAACCTATAAAAACAAGATTCGCAGAGTTTCTACTGTTAGTACTCCACCAACCAACGTACCG